TGCAATCTATGCGGTGCAAGCCATGTGGTGCGATCCATGTGGCGCAATCTAGATCGTGCAATCTACGTGGCGCAGTTAATGCGGTGCAAAGCAATGCAAACCGGTGCAGAACCTTACAGAGCAATGCAAATCCATGCAAACACATGTAAATCAATGCACAACATCACAACGCAATGTACAGCAATGATCAGCAATGACACGCAATGCAATACAATGCAAAGCAACGCAACGCAATGCAACGCAATGCAAAGCAACGCAATGCGAGACAAAGCGATGTAAAGCAATGCGATGTAAAACAATCCGACGCAATGCAAAGCAATGCAAGGCTTGCGATGAGAACGGGGGTGTTGCAACGGGGGGGGTCAACGGGGCGGCGAAACGGACGGCAACGGGGCGCCGGGCCAACAGACGGGCCTTGCATTGGGGACACTAGTGCGGCGACGGACGGGAACGGGGCCGCCAAGCCAACAGACAGGTCCAGCTCCACAGAAGCGAAGTAAGAACCTTTCAATGCAAGCACTACTGGGCGAAACTGCATATATGTATAATCATATCACATATTTATACATACGTACATATTACCATGTCTATCGATATGTGTATACATATAAGTATATGTATATGTGTATGTGTGTACATACACACATGTATGTATGTATGTATGTATGTATGTATGTATGTATGTATGTATGTATGTATGTATGTATGTATGTATGTATGTATGTATGTATGTATGTATGTATGTATGTATGAAAGAGCGTGTTCTGTTCTACCGCTGCTGGTGGAAAACCGGAGGGGGTCACTACGGTTCGAACCCCTCCCCCCCCCTCCGGAAAACCGGGGGGGTCACTACCGGTTCGAACCCCTCCCCACCCCCCCCAGTTCATCATGAAAAGGGGGGGGTCACTACCGGTTCGAACCCCCCCCCCTCGAACTCGAAAACCGGGGGGGGGTCACTACCGGTTCGAACCCCCCCCCTTCCCCCTCCTCGAAAACTGAGGGGGGGTGCGGACAGTGGTGGGGACGGTGGTGGTGGAGACAGTGGTGAGGGGGACAGCCGGACAGTGGTGGGGACAGTGGGACTGGTGGGGACGGTAGTGGTGGGGACAATGGTGAAGACAATGGTGGGAACAGTGGGGACAGTGGGACAGTGGTGGGGACGGTGGTGGTGGGGACAGTGGTGTAGGGACAGTGGGAATGTGGTGGAAACAGTAGGACAGTGGAGGGTACAGTGGTGGTGGGGACAGTGGTGAAGGCGGTGGCGAGGACGGCGGTGGGACAATGGGACAGAGGTACAGTGGGGACAGTGGTGGGGACAGTGGGGACAGTGGTGGGAACAGTGGGACAGCTCAGTGGGCCAGCGGAGGAGTCAGTGGGACAGTGGGGACAGTGGGGATAGTTGGGCAGTGGTTGGGGCCTTGGAGAAAGTTGGGAGGGTGGAGCCGTGGTGGGAACAGTGGTGGGGACAGTGGGGACAGTGCGACAGTGGTGGTGGCACTGGTGGGGACAGTAGGGGCGGTGGTGGAACCAGTGGGGACAGTGGTGGTGAGGACAGTGGTGCTGGGAACAACAGTGGGGGATGTGGTGAGGACGGTGGTAGGGACCGGGAGTCGTTTGCTGGCGGTGAGAGGGGGGGTGGGGAGGGGTTCGAACCGGTAGTGACCCCCCCTCCGGTTTTCGAGGGGGGGGGGGTTCGAACCGGTAGTGACCCCCCCCGGTTTTCGAGGGGGAGGGGGCCGAGCCAGGGGGGGGTGATTTTCGGAGGGGGGGGGGAACCCCAGGCTCCGGAGGAAAAGGGCGGCAATTTTCCACAGTAAGGCGGCGGTGGATCACGCTCTCTCGTATGTATGTATGTATGTATGTGTGTATGTGTATGCACGTATGTGTATGTATGCATATATGAATGAATGAATGTACGTACGTACGTATGTATGCATGTATGAATGTATGTACGTATGTACGTATGCACGCATGTACGTATGTACGTATGTATGTACGTATGTATGTAGTGTACGTATGCATGTGTGTATTTATGTATGAATGTATGCATGCATGCATGCATGCATGCATGTATGTATGTGTACATGTGTGTATGTATGGATGTATGCACGTACGTACGTATGTATGCATTTATGTATGTATGTCTGTATGTTTGAATGTACGTACGTACGTATGTATGCATGTATGAATGTATGTACGTATGTACGTATGTACTCATGTGCGTATGTACGGATGTATATACGTACGTATGTAGGTATGTATGTACGTATGTATGTATGGATGGATGGATGTATGTATACATGTATGCATGCATGCATGCATAAATGCATGCATGTGTGTGTGCATGTATGTATGTATGTATGTATGTGTGTATGTGTGTATGTGTGTATGTGTGTATGTGTGTATGTGTGTATGTGTGTGTATGTATGTATGTGCGTACGTATGCCTGCATGCATGCATGTATGCATGTATTTATCTACGTACGTACGTATGTATGTATGTATGCATACATACATACATATATATATATATGCATGCATGCATGCATGCATGCATGCATGCATGTATGTGTGTATGTTTGTATGTATATGTGTATGTGTGTATGTGTGTATGTGTGCATGTATGTATGTGTGTATGTATGTATGTACATACGTACGTACGTACGTACGTATGCGTGCATGTCTGCATGTGTGTGTGTGTACGTGTGTATGTATGTATGTATGCATGTATGTACGTATATGTATATGTGTGTGTATCACATAGATGTGCAAATATACGTATGTGTACATCTATGTGTTTATATGTGTGTGTACATATATATGTACATATATACATAGGTAGGTATGTATGTATGTAGGTATGCATGCTTACACACGTATCTACATATATATAGATATGTGTCTATATCTGTATATCGAGACACACATACACTCACATACATATATCCCGCGCACGAGGCCTGGGCGCCCGGGGCCCAGGCCCCGAGCGCGCACGGGGGGGACCGGGGCCTCCGAGACCGCTCCCAGAGCACCCCGGAGGGGCCGTGGTGCCCCAGAGAGTTCCAAGACGCTCCCAGAAGCCCCCAGGGGACTTCGACAAGCCCCTCCAAGACAGCCCACATAGCCCCAACGTGGCCCAAAGTGGGCTCCAGACCGCAAATACATGGCCCAAAGAGGCCTCAAGAGAGCTCCGAGAGGCGTCCCGAGAGAGCCCGAAGAGGCCCAAATCTTTGATTTTCATTGGCTTTCTGAATGTTATTCGGTTTCTCGCGTTTTCGACCTTCCGACGCTCCAAGACGGCCGACGACGCTCCCAAGACCGCCCCAAGACCGCTGAAGAGGCCCCCAACAGAGCCCCAAGACGGCCCCAGTGAGCCCGAAACTTGCCCAGCAGGAGCTTCAGACGGCCCAATAGAGCCGCAGGCCGTCTCGCCGCTGGGCTGCTGTGTGCTAGATACTGCCGCCGACGAGCTGCTGCCTCCGGTGGGCTGCTCCGCTGGCGCCTCATCCTCCCCTCCTCAAACGGCCTCGCCGTCGGTGGTAGTGAGACGCTTCTTGGCCAGGCGGCTGGAGATCTCCTGCTTGACCTTCGCGGCCTTTTCCAGCCAGGCCTGCACCTCTGTGTTCTTCGACGTGAACATCTGCTGCATCCTATCCAACTCCGTCTTGATGACGCGGAGCTGCTTCTTCTCGACCTCCTCGACCTCGACCTGCTCCAGGTCGTCGAAGAGCGATGCATCCCAGAAAACCTAGAAGGCAGGCTTGGGCTCCGACGACGGTGTGTCCGAATCTCCGAGTCCCGCCGCCTTCGCCAACGCCTCCACGGCCTGGCGCTTGCCGAGATCGGCCTCCACGAGGGCGATGAAAGCGTTCCTTTCCGTCTCCTCCGCGACCGCGAGGGCGGCCGTCAGGCGCTGCACGTTGGCCACCGCCTGATCATGCTTGTAGTTGCAGTCCTTCCAAGCCCCCTCGGCCTTAGAGACCAAAGCGGCCTCGGACGGCGCTGGGGGAGGCTTGGAGGCGCCCGATGCGAGCTGGGCCAACTGCTTCTTGAGAACGGCAACGACCTCGGGGTCCTTGCTGGCAGCGACGGCGGCCATCAGATGGTTCGTGACCGCAGACTGCTGCGGTGCCGCCGTCGAACGCCATGGCGCGGGACAGGGTGACCGACCCCGCGATGACGAATGTCGATGGGAAGAACATTCGGAGAAAGCGACCTTCTTGTGTCCTTTCGAGCGGAAAAGCGACACAGACTGACCACACGAGCAAGTGCACGATCTTGAAACAAGGATGTCATTCCACTCGCAACGCTGACAAGAGCTGAGCCTGCTCCAAAGCCGCTGAGCGGGAGCAGGCGCCATCGACATGAACTCTGGTTTTGGTTATCGCGTCGAACGAGTGCAGGGTAGGAAGCGATCTGCCTCAAGCGCCCCGTACAGGCACCAGAGACTGGCGTTGAGGTATGTAGGGTGTCGGAAAAGATGCTCTGGACAACCCGCCGGCCCGACCAGGGCTGTCACCTCAAGCCAGTGTTGCTTGAGAGGAGGAGGAGGAGGAGGAGGAGGAGGAGGAGGAGGAGGAGGAGGAGGAGGAGGAGGAGGCCTCTGATGCGCTGCCTCAGAGGTCCCGGCCCCTTCCCCTTCGCCCCGCGTCGGCTCTTCACACGGCCCCTGGTCCCGAAGAGGGCCCCCCCTGAAGGCCGAGATCGAGGAGACGTGCGGGGATTGAAGGCATGATGTCGTCGGAGATCCGGGCGTCTTGCTCCTGCTCGCCCTTTGCTCTGTGAGCTCCTCGACTCATGCTCCTCTCCTCTCAGAGGAGCACGGGGTCACGATAATGGCGCGTTCCAATATTTGTCTGATGTCCAAGATTTCTTGATCGTCCACATGGCTGCAGACACGATGGCCGATCCTATCATGATATCATGTCTGTCCTGTTCTCTTCCCTCCCCGCTCTCCTCGCTCTGGAGGCAAGGGTGGGGGGTGCGCTCTCGCCCGACCAGCGCGCGCAGAGGCAGCGGTGGACGCTGTGGCGGAGGTCGCGAATTCTGGGGACCGCCGGGGCTGGAACTGGGGAGTAGAAGAGCCTTCGTGCGATCGAAATGGGTGCCAAAAGAATGGGGACGCAGAGCGACAACAATTGCTTTCAAGTATCGAAGACGCCTACGGCAAATCACCGCCGCCCCCTGCCGTTTTGAAAGCGCCTGCGTGGCCGAAAGTTGGGTTTGAGCTTGGCCAAGCTATCGGGCCACGCGCTCCCCGAGTGGGTTTCAAAAGCCTTCGGGAAACATGTGGGGGAGGAAGAGGAAGAGGAGGAGAAGGAGGAAAAAGGAGAAGGGGGAGGATGCCTCTTCGGAGCCTCTTGAGGCACTCTTGGGCTCGATTGGGCCATCTTGGGACCGTCTTGGAGGCCATGTGGGTGCTATCTTGGGCTCTCTTGGAGCCTCTTGAGGGCCTCTTGGGGCCTTCTTGAAACTTCTCGGGGGCCTCTTTGGCCGTCTCAGGGCGTTCCTGGCCCGCTTGACGCCGTCGGGAGCCGTCTTGGGGGCCTCTCTGAACCAGCTTGGGACCCTCTTGGGGCGCTTCGGGGCCGTCTTGGAGACCATCTTGGGCGTCTTGGAGGCCTCTCGGGCCGTCTTGGGGCCGTCTTGGAGGCCTCTTGGGCCGTCATGGAGCCATCTTGGAGGCCTCGTGGGCGATCTTGGGGCGATCTTGGGGGCCTCGTGGGCCGTCTTCAGCCGTCGGAATGCCGAGAAGAAGCAAATGCAACAATTTTTAAACAAAAACCCAACGAAAACCGGAAAACAATGATTTTGGCCTCGTCGGGCCCTCCCGGAGGACCTCTTGGAGGCCTCTTGGGTTGTGTTGGGCCGCCTTGGAGGCTTCTCGGGCGATCTTGGAGGTATCTTGGACTCTCTTGGGCCGTCTTGGAGGCCATCTTAGGCCAACGTGGCCATCTTGGAGGCCATCTTGAGCCGTCTCGGAGGATTTTTTCCCAACCATCCTGTGGTGTTGGGTCCTCGTTTTGAAGAGACAGCGCCCCGCGTCCCTCCTTCATCCCGCTGCCTCCTCCCCCTCCTCCTCCCTCATCATCATCATCATCATCATCATCATCATCATCATCATCATCATCATCATCATCATCATCATCATCATCATCATCATCATCATCATCATCATCATCATCATCATCATCATCATCATCATCATCATCATCATCATCATCACCATCATCATCATCATCATCACCATCACCATCACCATCACCATCATCATCATCATCATCACCATCATCGTCATCATCATCATCAGCAGCATCATCACCCTAATCATCATCATCATCATCATCATCATCATCATCATCATCATCATCATCATCATCATCGTCATCATCATCATCATCATCATCATCCTCGTCATCGTCGTCGTCGTCGTCATCATCATCATCATCATCAACATCATCACCCACTTCGGCACACCCCTCACACGTTTCGTGGCCCCATAGGGAGCTCCACCGAATGTCCCAGTGGGTGTGCCCGCATGCGTCCCGCACACCCATTCCGGCACACCCCTCACATGTTTCGTGGCTCCATAGGGAGCTCCACCGAAGGTCCCAGTAGGTGTGCCCGTTTGCGTCCCGCACACCCATTTCGGCACACCCCTTACACGTTTCGTGGCCCCGTAGGGAGCTCCACCGAAGGTCCGAGTGGGTGTGCCCGCATGCGTCCCGCACACCCATTTCGGCACACCCTTCACACGCTTCGTGGCTCCATAGGTAGCTCCACCGAAGGTCCGAGTGGGTGTGCCCGCATGCGTCCCGCACACCCATTTCAGCACACCCCTCACACGTTTCGTGGCCCCATAGGGAGCTCCACCGAAGGTCCCAGTGGGTGTGCCCGCATGCGTCCCACACACCCATTTCGGCACACCCCTCACACGTTTCGTGGCCCCATAGGGAGCTCCACCGAAGGTCCCAGCGGGTGTGCCCGCATGCGTCCCGCACACCCATTTCGGCACACCCCTGACACGTTTCGTGGCCCCATAGGGAGCTCCACCGAAGGTCCTAGTGGGTGTGCCCGCACGCGTCCCGCACACCCATTTCGGCACACCCCTCACACGTTTCGTGGCCCCATAGGGAGCTCCACCGAAGGTCCCAGTGGGTGTGCCCGCTTGCGTCCCGCACACCCATTTCGGGACACGTTTCGTGGCCCCATAGGGAGCTCCACCGAAGGTCCCAGTGGGTGTGCCCGCTTGCGTCCCGCACACCCATTTCGGCACACCCCTCACACATTTCGTGGCCCCATAGGGAACTCCACAAAAGGTCCCAGTGGGTGTGCCCGCATGCGACCCGAACACCCATTTCGGCACACCCCTCACACGTTTCGTGGCCCCATAGGGAGCTCCACCGAAGGTCCCGGTGGGTGTGCCCGCACGCGTCCCGCACGCCCATTTCGGCACACCCCTCACACGTTTCGTGGCCCCATAGGGAGCTCCACCGAAGGTCCGAGTGGGTGTGCCCGCATGCGTCCCGCACATCCATTTCGGCACACCCTTCACACGTTTCGTGGCCCCCTAGGGAGCTCCACCGAAGGTCCCAGTGGGTGTGCCCGCTTGCGTCCCGCACACCCATTTCGGCACACCCCTTGGAGGAGCGGCCCGCCACAGCGGCGCCTTCTCTCTGCTGTCCAACTGTTTGGCCTCGCGCCGCGGACGCCCTGCGCGCGTCGCTGGGGCCCTCTCGGGGCGATCAGCGCGCGTCGCGCGAACTCCGCGCTGCGCTCTGTCCAGCGCCTCGCTCGCCTGTCGTCGCTCCGCCCGGCGGCCAGAGCCATGCGCGTTATCAATTAGCCAGCAAGCAATCTCTGTTCCACACAGCGTACGAACCGTGCGCGTCACTGTGACCCCTTCGGGGAGACCTGCGCGCATCGCGAGGGCTCCGCCTTGCGCTGCGCCCGCAGCCTTAGACTTTGGAGTGCGCGGGCAAAGGAAAAGGAAAAAGAAGGGGAGGAAACGGGCGCGGTCCTCGTGTGGGGCGTGCCGACATGGGCGTCGCGGCGCGCGGGCGCTGCCGTCGGGGTTCCCAGGGAAGCCCCCTGCAGAGGCTACGCCACACAATTCGGCACACCTTCATACGGTTCGTGGCCCCATAGGGAGCACCACCGAAGAAGATATTCACAATTGCGGTGCTCACAACTGCGTATGGTTGGGTCCCTCGCCAGGATAATTGGGGGATTGAGGTCCTGGGCAATCTTTTCTGGTGGCCGGCGGGACGGGCCGAAACCTTAGGGGGATATCTTTTGGAGAAGAACCAAAACCAAAACCGAAAGGGTTCACCACGCCAGGCACCCCTGAGATGAATCAGCAGGGGGCGGCGGATCGAAGACGCCTACGGCGAATCACCGCCGCCCCCCGCCTCTTAAAATCGCCCATGTGGCCGAGCGTTGTGGCAAAAGCTCTGCTAAGGTATCGGGCCATGTATTCCCCCAGCCGCTATGGAAAGCCTCCGGGGAACACTTGGGGGAGGATGGCGGGGAATATCAAGAGGAGGCGGAGGAGGAGGTGGAGGAGGAGGAGGAGGAGGAGGAGGAGGAGGAGGAGGAGGAGGAGGAGGAGGAGGAGGAGGAGGAGGAAAACATATTGGGGCCTCTGGGGACACTCTTGGGGCCTCCTGGAAGCTTCCTGGGAGCCTCGTGGACCTTTGGGGGTTTCTCGGGAGCCTGTTTGGCCGTCTTGGTGGGCTCCTGGCCCGTCTGAAGCCAGTTTGGGGGCCTCTCTGGGCCGACTTGGGGCCCTCTTGGAAGTCTTGGAGGCCTCTTGGGGCCGTCTTGGAGACCTCTTTGGCCGTCTTGGGGGCATCTTGGAGACCTCGTGGGCGATTTCGGGGGCCTCTTGGGCCGTCTTGAGCCGTCGGAATGCCGAGAAGAAACAAATCCCATAATCCTTCAAAAACCAATGGAAAAGTAATGATGTTGGCCTTGTTCGGGCCTTCCTGGAGGCCCTCTTGGAGGCCTTTTTGGGCCGTATTGAAGGCTTCTTGGGCCGTCTTGGGCCATGTTGAGGCCATCCTGAGGCTATCTGAGGCCGTCTTGGGTACATTTTCGGCCGTCTTGGATGCATCTTGGGGCCATCTTAGCCGTCTTGGAGGCCATCTAGGGCCGTCTTGGAGGCGCCTTGGAGACCATCCTGGGCCATCTAGGCCGTTTTGGACGCCATCTTGGGCCAACTGGAGGAAACAAGGGCACGACGGATGCGTTTTGGGGATTTTCCGGGTGGCCGGCGGGACGGGCCGAAGCCCCAGGGGGAGGTCTTTGGAAGAATAACCAAAACCAAAACCATATAGTTTGGCACGCCGGGCACCCCTTTGCTCAAGCAAAAGGGGCTACGGCGAATCACCGCCGCCCCCTGCCTTTTTGGAAGCGCCTATGTGGCCAAACGTTGAGGCTAGACCTGCCAAGCTATCGGACCATGTGTTCCCCGAATCGGTTTGGAAAGCCTTCGGGGAACACGTGGGCATCTTGAAGGTCATCTTGGCCGTCTGGAGGCCATTTACCTAACAGCGTGGACTGATAGGTTTCTAGTTGACTCAAAAGAGCTCACAGATCACTCCACAGGGGGGTCCGGGCAGGCGTTGGGAGTTGCCGGCCGGCAGGGTGCCGGGCCTGTGCCGGGCTCGTTTTTCACCAACAGTCACACACTTCGTGCTCGTCGACCTCTCAGAACCCCATTCCCAGGCCACATTCTGAATAACCGGATGCAACAGTCACACACTTGGTGCTCCTTGACCTCCCAGAACGCCATTCCCGGGCCACATTCGGAATAGCCGGACGCAACAGTCATACAATTCTTCGTATTTGACACCCCAGAACTCCATTCCCGGGCCACATTCTGATTAACGGGATGCAACAGTCACACATTTCGAGCTCTTTGGCATCCCAGAACCCCATTCCCAGGCCACATTCGGAATAACAGGATGCAAGAGTCACACACTTCGTGCTCCGAGACCTCCCAGAACGCCATTCCCAGGCTACATTTGGAAAAATCGCACACAACAGGTATA